CGGCGCCGCGGGGCGTTCGGTCGCGCTGCCTGCTGGGAAGTGTAGTTTCTCCCCACGCCTCTCTCTGGGGTGGGTGTTAGTCCACGTACTACGTACGTCCACGTCGGTGCCGCGCACAACCTCCACCACCGCCGTCTCCGCTGCTGGTGGCCAGCCTGCGCGGATGACCGGCCGAGTCTCCTCCCGCCGGCTCCCGGGGCTGAGTGAGGGGACTCGGTCGGGGAGATTTGGGGCGCGTGCGGCTGACGTTTCGGGTCTCCGAGCGCCGGCCCCACCTCCCCAGTCCTTCCAAGTGAGCTGGTCTCCCCGCTTTCAGAGCACCCCTTTCCGGGATAAGGCATCACCTGGACCAGGGGCAGCGTCCCCGACCGCTTCCTCCCCTCCCTCCCCAGTCACTTCCCCATTTTCTCCCCGAGCCCGGCCCTCCGGGGCTGCCCAGCCCCTCACACTCAAAGCAGATGCGGGATGGGAGGAAGGAGGGCTGGGATCCAACCGACCCCGTGGGGACCTGGATTCCCAGGAAGAATGGCGGCGACCCAGTGCGGATGGGGGAGCCCGGCAGGCAGCCCGGGAAGAGGGAGATGATGCTGTACAAACCGATGTAAAGACCCACGTAACAACGTGTGTGAACCGTCTGCAAGGCTGGCTCAGCCTCTGAGGTGCGAAGAATCCAGTTTCAACCAGGTGGTGGATCAAAAAAGATGCCATCGCGGTGTCGGCGGAGGCTTCTTTCCCACTGACCCTGCGGGCGAAGACACCTGGGTGACCCCGGCGGAACACACTCCCCGCGGCCCATGTCCCGCCACCAGGTGATGCCGGGCATTCAGCTGTTTGCTCTCTTGTTTTCATCCTCTCTAGCTCCCTGCACTTAATCTTCCCCCCTTTTTTCTTAGCAAATGAAAAAACATCCAGAAACGATAACATTCAGTTGAGTGGTTCCGTTAAACACATGTTTATTGTGGCAGTAAGTGCTAGGTGATTTGACAACGAATAGGACAGAGCCCCTGCGATTGACACTCTACCGGTATGTTTCTATCATCTGTGCAATTCCTAAAGCAGTCAATATCATGTATGTTGCTGGTCGGAAATAAATAACTTATACTTGCTGAGACAAATCCAGGTCAGGGGCCAGCCACAGACTGCTAATGGCATGAGCCTAAAAACTTAGGCTTTTTGCTCTGGCCGGTTTGGCTCAGTGGGTAGAGCCTCGCCTGCAGACTGAAGGGTTCTGGGTTCGATTCCGGGCAAGGGCACATGCCTGGGTTGCAGGACTGATTCCCAGTAGAGGGCCTGCAGGAGGCAGCCAATCAACGATTCTCTCTCATCATTGATGTTTCTATCTCTCTCTCCCTCTCTCTTCCTCTCTGAAATAAATATATATATTTAAAAGTTAGACTTTTTAAATCCACGTTCCACCTAAATGTTTTTTAACCTGCCATTCTTTAAAATAATTTAACAGTTCTTTTCGTTGACAGTATCTTTAATGTTTCTCTTACTACCTTTTTCTTCCATCTCGGAGCATATGTAATGTGCACATGTTTCCTGATAAAAGCATAAAGTGTAAATAAAGGACACTGAGAAGATATAAAGGAACATATCAAATAAATTGACCTAATTCATGGATAAAAATAATTCTACTTCGAAGTTTAAGAGATATGGAGACCTCCAGGAGGATTTGGAGAAGAGTCCCAATAGTTATTAAAATTCTGGACTAGATCTATTAGGAAAGATAAAGAAACTAAGAATCTACCAGGAAAGAGGAGTTACAGTGGTTTATGAAAGCTTTTCAAGTAGAGATGTCAACCAGGTGTCATGCCTTGATGGAGAACTAAACAGGAGAAAATAGATTTACGTTCCAACCTAAAGAGCTTTAGGTGAGAGCTAAGGAAGACATGTCCTGATAATTAAACGTTAAGAAGGTTTAGTGAGGCAGCTCTTTGGAGAGTTTCTTGAAAAGGTAGTTCTAGATGTGTCCGTTTTAAGAACAGAAACTAACCTTTTTGATCACCAAGAAGGGGCTCCACACTGTTTCAATCACTTTTACACATATTAACTCAATCCTTACGATGACCCCATGAGATAGGTATTATTATCTGTGTCTATGAAAAAAGGCATAGATATGAAAGTTGAAATTCAGGTTAAGCAATTTATCCAAAATGATATAGCTGGTGTGAGTGGCAAAGGCAGGATTTGAATCCAGCTCTGTGCTGTCACCCTCTTCCCACCACACCAGCCAGCTTCTCTTAACTGAAAACTAGGTGATGGGCCAAAGGATCGATGAGACTCCAGCTCCTGAGCTCATTCACAGCAGAAACAATATCTTACTCAACCGTATTTGCCACACCTACCTCGATACCTAACCCCTACTGAATTGATTCTAACTTTATATCCCGTCTGACATTAAACAAAGACGCCAGTGAAGCGCAGTCATCCATCCATATTGGGGAAGAGTGTTACAAGCATAGGGAACAGCAAGTACAACGGCCCTGAGGTAGGAAGATGCTTAGTTGCTTTTGAGGAACAACAGCTAAGTGGGAGAGTCGAAGACAGGAGTTGCCGTTGGAGAGGAAGCCAGGGGTCACATCATTTAGAGCCACTGCCACTCACTTTAAAAAGATTAATTTCCAAGAACACCTGGTCAACAGATTGTGGTGCTTTACACAAGCAAAAAAGCATGAAGAAGCTGATAGAAATAATAATGATTTTTTGGTGGTTATATGCCTAGCAATGGGGTAGGACATTTAAGTGCATTATCGCACTTAATCCTCACATTACTTCTACAGGGTTAGGTACTATCCCAGTTTTAAAGCTTGAGAAAATGGGGAAACAGAAATATCAAATAACGTGGTTCACAATTAGCCCATGGCAGAGACCGGAGGTGAGCCAGGTCTCTCTGACTCCAGAGCCTCGAAGCCACATCCACATTTTCTCATTGCGAACAGGGAGGAAGGGCCTCTTGCCTGCGGGCATTCAACAAGTAATTATTGTTCATTGCCTTGTGAGCGGCACTGTAGAAACAGGAATCAAATGTAACACAGCATTTTAAAACGCTTTGCATGATCACATTCTTACCAATCATTTCTTTTTAAAACTTTGCAGGTAGATGGACTATAAGGTACTTGCCCAACAAACCACTCAAGATATTTTAGGTTACAGTCAAGATACATCAGGCTGGAAAGTAGTTAAATCTTCAGTAAGAAAACAAATGTTTCAAGTTTTTGTTTTTAAATGAGAAACAGTTGATTTAAAACAAATTTTTTTTTTACAAACAAACAATTTACTTTTGCTTTGTTTTATTTTGTTGTGTTTTTTTTCCCTTTTTTTTTCTGTACTTGACAGCTAACTTATTTGTTAATTTTTTTTCCCTTTGAGAAAAAAATAACTGTTTCTAGCAAGGCTTCTAAAAAATTCCTTGGAAATATGTAAGTACAATTTCCTATTTGCAATTATTGTTTTGAATTCAGTGGCATTTATGTATCTAGAATTTAAAGTGTGCTGACCTCTCATTTATACCACATTACATACTTAAATTAATTAAGAATTGGGGCTGAAAGGGGCTGCATAGCCACACAAACTTCTTATCAATTACTGTTGACTTATAAACACAGCAGATAAATGTTTAAAAGAAAGATTTTAGAAAAATCCTAAATGAAATTTGCCCCTCTAGAAAAATAACTACAGCGCAGCTGGCATGGCTCAGTGATTGAGCATAAACCTATGAACTAGGAGGTTGAGGTTCGATTCCTGGTCAGGACACATGCCCGGGTTGTGGGCTCGATCCCCATGGGGAGATGCAGGAGGCAGCAGATTGATGATTCTCTCTCATCGTTGATCTTTCTATCTCGCCCTCTCCCTTCCTCTCTGAAATAAAAATATTTTTTAATATTCCACTCATTTGTGGAATATAATGAACAACATAAACTGATGAACAAAAACAGATCCAGAGACAGAGAAGCAACGATCAGACCATCAAACCTCAGAGGGAAGGTAGGGGAGGGTGGGGGTAAGGGGAAGAGATCAACCAAAGGACTTATATGCAAGCATATAGGCCTAACCAATGGACACAGACACCAGGGGGGTGAGGGCATGAGTGGGGGCGGATAGGGGGTAACGTGGGGATAAGGACACATATGTAATAACTTAGTTAATAAAAAAATGAAAAAAATCTACAGAAACATTATAAACAAAGTTTTTAGAAAAATGAACTTTGAAATAATTTATATTAATTATTATAATATATATTTAAATAAACCTTGCTACTTCTAATTGAATATTAGTGTTTTGAATTGCAGATATGACCCTCAAATTTTCTTTACTGTTGATTGCTAAATTAGTCTGTGTTATACTATGATAACATTATATTTTCAACTTAGACTGAATTAAATTTTGAATTTTCTTTATTTTGTTAACTATAGATATCGTGCTGAAGGAATAATTTCAGAACCAACATCTAAACTAGCTGATTTCCTCTACAAGCCTGAAATTAGAATTACATGGGACAAATCATTGAAAGTGTACAATATGATACACAAGATTGATTCGGTAATTTGTTGTTTAATATTAAACTTTTCCTGTATTAATATATTTTTAGTTTTATATCTTAATGATTTAAGTTTATTAAACCTATGTTAGGTAGACACTTCAATTTTATAGATTCACGTTGAGTTGAAATCTTTATAAAAGCCTTAAAACTTCCTTCTTTATCACTCAAGAGTTTAATTGCAGTTAGCTGCTTTCTGTTTTAAATGCACACCACATTCTGAATCTGGTTAGCTTTCTTGAAGATGTGTGCCTTTGGTTATGAAGGGACAAACTCCTGGATTCTCCAACATTAGGTGGAGAAAAGATTAAACATGCCTTGGTAAAGGGAAGTCAGTATATTTATATTGGTCACTAGAGGCCTGGTGCACAAATTCGTAGGGATAAGGACAAATTCGTGCACCAGTGGGGGGTCCCTCAGCCTGGCCTGCGGGATCAGGTTGAAACCGGCTGTCTGACATCCCTCGAGGGGTCCCAGATTTTGAGAGGGCACAGGCCAGGCCAAGGGACCCCACCGGTGCACAATTGGGGCTGGGGAGAGATGCGGGAGGGCTCCAGGGCATGTCTGGCCCATCTTGCTCAGTCCTGATGGGCCGGACCCCAGTAGCAAGCTAACTTACTGGTTGGAGCGTCTGCCAACTAGTGATCAGTGCACGTCATAGCAACTGGTCGACTGGTCAGCTGTCTTCCCCCTGGTGGTCAGTGCATGTCATAGCGAGCAGTAGAGCAGCTTAGCATATTATGCTTTGATTGGTTGAATGGACGACTGGATACTTAGCATATTAGGCTTTTATTATATAGGACTAGAGGCCCAGTGCACAAAAATCTGTGTACTTGGTGGGTGGGTGGGTCCCTCAGGCCAGTCTGCACCCTCTCACAGTCCAGGACCCCTCGGGGGATGTCCACCTGCTGGCTTAGGCCTGCTCCCTGGGGGGATCGGGCCTAAGCTGGCAGTCAGACACCCCTCTGGCAGCCCAGGAGCCATCCATCAGACATCCTTAGCGTTGCCAAGGAGGTAGGAGAGGCTCCCGCCACCCCGCTGTGCTTGCAGCCATCAGCCCAGCTTGTGGCTGAGCGGAGCTCCCCCTGTGGGAGCGCACTGACCACCAGGGGGAAGCTCCTGCGTTGAGCATCTGCTCCCTGGTGGTCAATGCGCATCATAGCAACTGGGCGTTCCGCTGTTAGGGGCAATTTGCATATTACCCTTTTATTATTTAGGATAATAGCTTAAATAACAGGAAAAATGCAGACACATACTGTAGGGACTTAAGAAGGAACAGCATGTAATTAAAGAGAAGGATAAAGTGTGAAATAACATATACATGGTTGTGGTTTTAGAAACAGTTTAAATACATTATCTCAGTTAAATGAAGATGAAGAGAGAGGAAAAACAATGAGGAAAGGAAATATAAATAATTGGTGTAGAAAGTGATCATAGAAGCAAGTAGGGCTTAGAAGAGGGGAGGAGAAAAGATCAGTATGAGCTGAGGGTAGATATATGCATATATGTCTAGTCTATGGACACAGACAATAGTGTGGTGAAGGCTTGGGGTGGAGTGGGAGCTGAGTAGAGGAGATCAAAGATGGGGGGAGCAGAAATGGGGGACATCTGTAATATTCTCAATAACAAAAATAAAGAAAATTCAGGAGAAGAAAAATATGATATAAATGAAAGTAATAATGAGATGTACAAAGAGGTAGAAACAAGAAAGAAGTGGGGTAAGGGATTCTGAACTTGGGAGCAGTTCACTAGATCTCTTATTAAGACTGCTACACTTTGTGGTATGTAAATTACAGCTCAGTAAGATGTTTTTAAAAATTGAGTTGCACAATTTTGGCTAACAAAAACTTTATTAGAAAGAGGTGGCAAATGTGAATGTTAGCATACTTTTATGATTTTCACAAACAATTGCATTTATAAAACTCCACATCACTGGGTCTTTGGCTCTTTGAGTCTCCAAACTACATTCCACTTATCAAAAGAAACAAATGTCCCACAAATAAGTCTGTCACCATTTTATCATTTATTTACAACTCTGTAGGTTAACTTTGCCTGCTTTTATTAAGCTGATTTTAAAGTCTGGGAGTTGCGGGGAGAAGCCCAGAAAGGTAAGTCAGGTAACAAACAACACACGTCCATGACCCTCTTGGGATCTGTACCTTTCGTTTGAGAAATATGTTCCAGCCCTGGTTTGGCTCAGTGGATAGAGTGTTGGCCTGTGGACTGAAGGGTTCCAGGTTCGGTTCTGGTCAAGGGCACGTGTCCGGGTTGCAGGTTTGATCCCAGTAAGGGGCATGCAGGAGGCAGCCAATCAATTATTCTCTCTCATCATTGATGTTTCTATCTCTCTCTCCCTCTTCCTTCCTCTCTGAAAAAAAAATATATATTTTTAAAAAGTAAATAATAAAAAAAAGAAAAATGTGGTCCATCGCAAATGAAAATCCAAACATTGTAATGTTTCATTCATGATTGTATTAGACTAATTACATCGTTCCATTAGCACTTCAGGTCTTCCTGCTGTTGCTGCAACTCAGCTGTAATAATGGAAAGAATACAAGACTTAGCACCAAAAAACTTGAAAATAGAGTCAGAGAAATTATGTGACTTGCTCAAGGTCAGCACAGCCAGTACATGATAGAACCAGGGTTTATACCTGATCTGATCCCAAATTCCTGGCCCTTTACAGTATACCACAGTATCTCTGAATAGCTTTACCCTATAAAAGAATTATTTTACCTTCTTATGAATATTTATAGTGTTCCTCTTTAGGAGCGTGTTTTAGTTGACTCATTCATCCCATTGGTGAGCGCAGGATTCCTAGCCAAGGGTTGTAGGGGTGGTAAAACATGATACCTGCCACTAGGCAAATGAGATCAACAGTAGTTTATTAATAATTAATCACAGCCCAGAGGAGGACTGTTATTTTGTTAACATTTGTTAAGTGGAGCATAGGGTGCCGGATGGTGAGCCGTGTTTCAACAACAGCTCATAAGAGAAATTAAAATTAGTCACAGGTCCTGGAGGAAGCACACAGTGAAGCCTCAAGAGGCCATGCAGGGAGGGCAAGGCAGGTACAGGCAGAGACGGGCAGGGCCTGAGGCACATGTCTTTGTTAGGGTCTGTGGGTGGAGTGTGCGAGGGAATTCCCAGGCTAAGGTCTGATCGGTCAACTCAAACCAAAAAGAGCAGCGTTTTGGTAAGCTCCCTGGGGTGTTTTATCTAAGGGGTCACAAGAGGAAGGAGGCCCTGCGAGGCTGGGGAGACTGTTGAACCCAGGACTATTGGGACAGTCATATCAGAACTTGCATTTGCTTGTGAGTGTGGGCTGGTATCCTTGGCATCCACTTGTATGAGGGGGCTAGTGTCAGTTTAAGGCCCCTGCAGGCTGCTTGGCCAAACAAAATGGATGCTGAGGCAATACCATGCAATAGCCTGGCTAAGGATACATCCTGCCAGGCCGTGTGTCATGGGAGCTGTACCGGGGGACAGAGAATAACCAGGGAGGCAGGCTTTATAGTACCAAAAGGTTGAGATGACCCCGAATCCTGCAGGAGGATGCACTTGGCTGTCGGAATAATTCTCCAGGCTAGCAGACACTGTGCCTGATCCAGTCGATAAGGAGGGTTGTTTGGCTAAAGTCCGTATTCATGGGAACAGTCAGGAGAGAAACTTGCAGTTAGGCCAGTTAAGACCCTATTTTCACCAGATGTCAACACATAATATTGGTCACTTAATTTTAGGCCTTACACCATAGGTGCTAAATCAATATACTTTTCATAATACATTAGCTAGCCAATGTGGAATGGTTGTACTGGGAATCAGGGAATCTGGGTTCTAGTTCTGTACTTATCTCTAGTTATCTGTTAGGCTTTAATTTCTTCATTTAAAATGTCAAAGTGTAGATGATATAAAGATTACTTTTTTAAATTTTTTTATTTTATTGTTTTATTGCTTAAAGTATTACAAAGAGTATTACATATGTCTTCTTTTTTCTTCCTGCCCTTGACAATCCCCTGGCCTCCCCTACCCCCCAGTGTCTTATGTCCATTGGTTATGCTTATATGCATGCATACAAGTCCTTTGCTTGATCTCTTCCCCCCCTCTCTCCTGCCCCCCAACCCTCCCCGGCCTTCCCGCTGCAGTTTGACAATCTGTTTGAGGCAGCTCTGCCTCTGTATAAAGATTACTTTTGAATTTTATGCATTAATAATTATATAAATAGATATATGATTTAATATTTCCTCTAATTCTGTAGGTTCCCTTTTCATTTTTTAAAATAGGTTTTTATTGATTTCAGAGAGGCAGGGAGAGGGCGAGAGAGAATCATTGGTCAGCTGCCTCCTGCATGCTCCTTACTAGGGATTGAGCCTGCAACCTGGGCATGTGTCCTGAACAGGAATCGAACTGTGATCTCCTGGTTCATTGGTTGACACTCAACCACTGAGCCACACTGACAAGGGCCCCTTTTCATTTTGTTGATGGTTTCCTTTGCTGTGCAGAAGCTTTTTAGTTTGATGTAGTCCCGCTTGTTTGTTTTTGCTTTTGTTGTCTTGTACTTATAATAATACCTAATGTTCCTTTAACACAGAAAATGCAGGCTGATAGGGTGATAAGTTCTTAAAATTGCAAAGTCCTGCTTTTTCCAAGTAGAGGCCAATCTTCTACAGTGAAATTCTTTGGGGAGCAGTACAAGGAATAGATATTAACTAATTGTTGCAATCTTTATGGTTTGATTTGTTTCAGGACACATTCATATGTCATGCCATTACACAAAGTTTTGCCATGGGCTCAATTTCCCCCCGAGACTTTGTCGACATAGTGCACAGCAAGTGCCATGAAGGGAATGTGTATGTGATCAGTTGTAAGTTGAAACATTTTGCCCACATTTTAGAATTACTATGAGTTATTAATAATTTTTCCCTTTAACTCACATTTTGGAAGAAATATATTTTCAATTATTTATTTTTTATTTACGTGGTGAGACTAATACATACATGTATAATGTAGACCAGCCTGCTGTTTTTACCCTACTCTGGAGGTGCCTTTTACATCATAGTCAATGGTGTGGCATCTCCTGGCCTTTTTGCAGCATATAACCACACCACTGAGTACAGGTAAATACCTGTAGGCTGAAACTACACAGCAAACATTTTAAAACCACTGAGAAACAAAAGTAATCTTTAGATATATCATTTTATATTTGAACTAGAGGCCCGATGCATGAAGATTTGTGCAAGAATGGGCCTGCCTTCCCCTGGCTGCTGTCACCGCCTTTGCTCTGGCAGGGGCCACCTTTCTGCTTTCGATCTGGCCCGGAGCTGCCTTTCTGCCTTCCCATGCTGCCCAGAGGCCCGGAGCGACTGGGGTAGTGCAGAATGCCTGCATCCTGCCCCGCCCCCGGCCGCTCGGCACCCGTGTATGCGAATTAACCCGCCATCTTTGTTGGGTTAATTTGCATACTCCTGATTGGCTGTTGGGCGTCATGAAGATATGGTCAATTAGCATTTCTGTCTTTTATTAGTGTAGATTGCATAGAATGAGCTTATCCAATAACTGACAAAACTCCTATTTTTACTAGGTGGGTCTTTACACAATGTGCTTATGTTTCTTTTAGAAGGTAGGGGTTTTGATGTATCCTTAGCCTCCCAAAATATGTCACCCAGTAAAACCCCAGCGTGTGACCATTTCTTAATGTGTATATTCACTTGAAACATTACCAGTTCATACCATGAAGATCTTTGGAGCCAGACAACTCCAGATAAGTCATGATGAAGGATCTTGGGCAGGACAGCGGCCTAGAGCCCTGTTTCTCTCCACAACTCAATTTAATCTGACCACTACTATCTGAATAGCTTTCCGTACTGTAAGCTACCTGGAGATAGGGACAGTTAAGTGTTGTTAATTACTACTTCCCAACAAGGTTTCTGATACGTCCGTGGTAGTAAGTTTCAGAGTCCAGAGCTGTGCTAATAGCACTCACACACACTTAGCTCAGGTGCAACATGCCGCTAAGGACTGATGTTCACCCTTTCAGATAGCTGTCATTTAGTTACCTCATTGTTAAAACGAGGGCAGATGAAAATCTATTCACTGTCTACAACGCAAAATGGTGTCTGAGTCATAGATCTGCTATTTTCTGTGTTTTGAAAGCAGACCATTTCTATCTCATTTTTAGGGGTATAAAAGAAGTCTGAAATCAAAATCAACAAATGGTTGTAACGAGTCATTCAGTGATCAGTACTGAATTTGCTTTAAGCAATTTCTTTGAATTAATTATCAATGAATATGGATAGTTTTCTTCTTCACCTTTCTTTTGCTGTTGTTCACTTTACTATGCTTTGAGTTAAATATTTTGCATGCTTTATCGCACCCGTACGGAAACTGAAGTTCAGAGGAAACAAGTTAGATAGCAATAAGCTGCTGAGCCAGAATTAAAACACAAGTCTTTCTAATTTTCCAAAATCAGTACTAACTACCAACCCAATATCCCTCACAAAAGACCCATATCTGTTCGTGGAATAAAACAAATTTTCTTTTACGAACAAGCATAATCTCCATATTTTAAACAGGGAAAATATGTTAATATCACTTCTGGAAGTATCATCATGCCAACAGAATAGGCTCTGTTAAGGTGATGAAACAAGTAATAAAAATGGAAAATTCATTCAACCACACTTGTTTCCTAAGCTAGACCAAAGCTAATGCTTAACATTGTACTTCCCACAGAATTGATAGCTTATGTTAAAATCACATGGGAAAATCCATCTTCTCTGACAAGAGCAGGATTCAGTTGCACAGAATACATATGTTTAAAAAATATTTTTTGAAAGAGTACATATAATTATCATCAACAATCATTATCAAATCACCTCCCTTCTGTATTCATATTCAATACAATTATACTGCATAATTCCTAAAACAACTCTACTGATTTTTTAAAACATATATTTTTATTGATTTCAGAGAGGAAGGGAAAGAAAGAGAATCATTTATGAGAGAGAATCATTGATTGGCTGCCTCCTGCATGCACCCTAACTGGGGAATCAAGCCTGCCACCTGGGCATGTGCCCTGATTGGGAATCGAACTGTGACCTTCTGGTTCATAGGTTGATGCTCAACCACTGAGCCACACCAGTCGGGCAAACTTCTGATTTTTAATTATAATTTGAATTTAGAGATTTTGCAGAAAAGGACATTTAAACTATCTTCTTTGACATGCCAAATAAATACATCCAATATTTTATTTAAAAATGATTTAACAAAAAATCTATAAATCCATTCTCCTAATAGCCTTTTTCGTTGTGACTTCTTTTGCTTCAAATCTCAGAAAGTAATAAAATGATACTTTGAACAGTTCTTCCTGAATGTAAAAGGTAACAATAGCATCTTTAGAAATACTAGCACGAAAATGTTTGAGAGGACAATCGTGCTCAAACTGGTATTTTCTCAGTTTTGGCCTATGTACACATTCATACGTACAAACATACAACCCATGTATAAAACCAATGTCAGTGCTGATAATACCTAAGATAAATTAAAAGCTGTGTTATATGTATATATTTTAAAACACGCTACTTGAAATAGAATTTTTTACCTTTGTGGAAGAGGTTTCATTTTATTTCTTTTTAAATCACTTAGCTAAAAGTGTGGATTTTCCAGGATATCCTCCATCTTCACATTATATCCGTGGTTATAACCATGCTTGTGGCTTTGTCTGTTCACCTCTGAAAGAGTAAGTATCATTTGCATTTCTTTATTGTAACAGTTTTTAAGTTCAATTTGTGGTTTAATTAAAGGATCCCTAACTCATTAGTAGAATATGTACCAGCACATTCTATTGGGGAAAAATGGCCCCTAATAGAATGTGATCTTTAAAATAATTGTTATAAGTATTTTCACATGAAGTATAATCAGAAAAGATAATTCACTATAAAGTATGATTTGAGGTTTCTGGGACAAGTCACACATACACAGTTTTTCCCCTCCGGGGTTAACATTAACCTGATGTTTTATTTTTCTTCATAGAGTCAGTTCTGTGAATTACTAAGGGATATTTGTGAATTGAAAATAAATTCCCTAGACTTATAATACAGTTACATTTATCAGCAATGAATGCTTTATCTTGAACACATTCTTTCTAATAGACTGCCTACTAAGAACAGATTCCTTCAAAATGAGACTTCTGGTAGGTAAATTCAGATAAGAGTTGGAAATCAGAAATGAGTCATTGCCTACAGATGGCCAGCCTAGTGATAATAAAAATGGTAACATAAAATACCATTCTGTAAGTTCATGTACATTAACTTAGTGTATATCATTTCACAAAATCCTTAAGTTTTAATTTTTGCTAAATGATTTTATATTAAGTAAAAAATATTGGTACATAAAGATAAATGTAAAAACTTTATATTGGTCCAATATAAACTTCAATATGAGAAAAATATTTATGTGAATGAAGTAAAAATAAAATTACATTTTAGACCTGTATTCCTTATGAATATTATACTAGTAAATATTGACTACTTAAAAATTTGTTATAATGCCCTTATAAATGTATTTTATAGAATACAAATTCCATAACATATTACATTATCAATTTAAAAACATATACAACCTTTAAATCAGATTTTTACATCATTCCTTTTCTCCTTGAACCCGTATTTTTACTCTTTTTCTCTCACATAACTTTATCCTAGTAAAATATGCTTTGTGCTTTGAATTCTTTTATTAATCATTCTATCATAGTTCTCTGCAAAAATGAGTATTTAATTTTCAAAATTAATTTTATTTTCTGTGACTATAAGTATCTAAATATTAAAAATATAAGTGTGGGGGAATAAGGACACATATGTAATACCTTAATAAAGAAATTTAAAAATTGAAAAAATAAAAATATAAGTGTGTGTGGGATTAAATTATTATTACATATTTATCAAAGCAGATAACATATTACCAAATATGTTACCTGGTATATAATTATTAAAACTGTTATTGGAAATACATTTTTTTATTACTAGCCAAACTTAGATAGCACTTACTATGTGCTGGGAACTATTATAAACAATTTACATATATTGATTGATTTGGCCCTCACATTAACTTCACGAAGTAGGTAGTGTTACTGTCTCCATTTTACAGAAGATAAAATGGAAGCTCGGAGAGATTAGGTAACTTTTCAAGGTTTCACATGGGTAATAGCAAAGCTCAGCTTTAACCAACGCAGACTGTTCCAGAGTCTGTGCTTCTACCAACCACACTTGTTTACCTGTGGATCAGTATTACTGGTCCTAATAAAATGAGGCAACGCTTATTATCAAGTCCACTTCTACTTTGCGTTTTATAAATATAAGCACTGAGAAATTTTGTTCACATAAATACGTGGGTTAAAATGGAACGAGTATAAGTCTAGCACTGCCCCTCAATCCCTTGAACTTCATCTGAGCTATGTACCATAAATTATAGTAACCTATAATCAAAAACTTCTTCATGACCTATCAACAGACAACTAAATTAGATCCTTAAGTTTTATTTAAGCAAAGAATTGACAACATGACTGAGTAAGGATTTTCACCCAGTCATTAGTCATTCCCTTTCTTAACTCACTTCCAATAGATGAAAGTTTCCCTTTGTCATCTCAAAGGTGTTTGCGTGCCAGGGTAAAGCATCACTGTACCTTCTTTTCTGTTTTCTTTCCTTCCTTCCATAGCTATGTATCCTATCATAATCACTATGGAGAGACTTCATTGTGAATAAGACAAGCCTATAAATTCAATAGATAAGTCATTCCTATTAGGGGCTGGGGGTGACAGGTATACCTTCATTTTGAAAAGCAAGAGAAGTGTGATGTGAAGAGGCTGGTGGGAAAGGAAAAGCCCTTATCTCCATCAGAGACATATTCTCAGATCAGTTTAAGGAAAAGATACATGTGGTAGTTAGAGTTTTGAAAAGGTATTCCCTTAGCTCTAGCTAGTTTGGCTCAGTGGATAGAGCGTCAGCTTGCAGACCAAAGGGTCCCAGGTTCGATTCTGGTCAACGGCACTTACCTTGGTTGCAGGCTCCTTCCCTGGCCCGGGCCCTGGCTCATGCAGGAGGCAACCAATCAATGTGCTTCTCTCACACTGATGTCTCTCTCTGTCTTTCCCTTTCTCTTCCACGCTCTCTAAAAGTCAATGGAAAAATATCCTCGGGTAAGGATTTAAAAATATAACAAAATTTTTTTTAAAAAATGTATTCCCTTAAATATTATTCATCTTCTTGTACTCCTTGGAAAGGCTTCACATAGCCCAGTTTAAAAATTACTGGGTCAGAATATAAAAAAAACTAGTCTCTTGGAAGGCAATTTGGAAATAACACTAAAATGTTAAATGTACAAAACCCTTGACTTAGAAATTCAGTGTAAGTATTTATAGAAGTGCAAACAGATATATTACAAAGATGTTTATTGCAGCTTTATCGCCGCAAAAAGTGAGAAATAATCCAAATGGTAGTCAATAAAGAACTGGTTAAGTAGAGTATGAAACACTGTATGCAGTCATGAAAAACAATCCAGCTGATCCATATGTATTGATACAGAAAAATGTGCATGATATCCTGCTATGAGGAAAATAAAATCAGTTGCAGAAAAATAAGCATCTCATTTTTATATAAACAAAAATGTATATGTGTGTATATGTAGGGTACATCTGTGTACATATGTGTGCTGTCTTTGTATACATTTAGACAACCATCCAAAAAGATACAGTCAAAACTATAAATGGTGATTTTCTCTGAGGAACAGGATGAAGGGAACAATTATGACAGTTCTGTATTTAAATTTTCAAAAGCACACATTACTTTTGTAATTTAAAAGTCAATGTGACAAAAAGGAAAGCTGACTAAAACTGAAGACGGGAAGACTGTAGGTCGGATTAGTTACTGTTTTCATGTAAAATGTGTCTGAGTGTGAGAATCACTGTACCTTCCCTTTTTTCTCTCCTTCCTTCCATAGCTATGTGTCCTATCATAATCACTATGGAGGACTCCACTGTGAATAAGACAAGCCTGTAAATTCAATAGATAAATCTAAAGATTATTTATGTTTTTAATTCTTCCTTTGTTTACAGTAATCCAGCGCATTCCAAAGTAGTGATGTTTGTCCAGACAGAAATGAGGGGGAAATTGTCCCCATCAATAATTGAAGCAACTATGCCTTCCAACTTAGTGAACCTCATCCTCAATGTAAAAGATGGAATAAAGACACACAAAGCTTCATCAGAACGTGGACGTCATCATAGTTGCCAATCGCTCCCTAAGAAGAAATGAGGCTGTTTATAATGAGGCCATATAAAATCATGTGTAGCAGTTACTGCAGTTTATTTCTAAGTCAATATGCATAAGGACTGTTAAACTATTCTAGACAGTATTCTTGTACAAATTACTGAAGGTACATTGTGGAAATGAGAACTCATAGTTATATAAGAGAACAGTCTTAAATATAGTTTTGAATCGCATATAAGACTGATGTTCAATAACAACTGTTTATTTTTTTAAATTATATTTTTATTGATTTCAGAGAGGAAGGGAGAGGGAGAGATAGAAACATCAATGATGAGAATCATCGATCAGCTGCCTCCTGCATACCCCCTACTGGGGATCGAGCCTGCAACCCAGGCATGCACCCCTGACCTGAATCAAACCCAGGACCCTTCGGTCCCCAGGCCAACGCTCTACCTACTGAGCCAAACTGACCAGGGAAACAATTGTTCTTAATGTCCTTTTATCTTTTGCTTTTTCCCCCTGGAAAATGTTCTGCAAAAAAGTCAATAAGAAAGCATAAATAGTAAGAGATCATCACTAATTAAAGATTAAAATATATTTTAAATTGGTTTTCCTTCACTTACTGCTTAAAATTGATAATTGTAAGAAACATGAACATAAAATTGAAAAGAGTTACACTGGAATTATGACCAATGATATCTAGCATTTAAAATTGAATGAGTCATGAATCAAGTTCTGGTTCTAGCCAAGATGTAGTAGCCCATCCTCCCAAGTCCTTTTTCTCTTACAAGTAAGAGACTCTGCACATAACAACAAACAGGCATAGGAAGATGAGTAGAGGTGGAAAGGGGGCAAACTTCCTAGGGACTTTGGGACTTGAGAAATGACATAGCAGGGAGTTCTCGGTTTCCTTGTTGCCTCCCATATATTCAGGACAAGGCACTAGCTACAGAAGGCTCCAACCTGGAACCACCCATAGGCAGGAACAACAAAAGTTTCTAGAAAAAGCCTATTCCTCCTAGTCATAGGACTGGCTATAAATGAGAGGGTGGCCTACCAGAACAAAATCTTTTTGACAATACCTACCCATCACCAGCCAAACAGAAACCTAAGAATTGCACCCGCCTCACCCTACAGTTTGAGCGGGGCCAAGCAGAGCGATCTTCCACCCCACCTTGCTCATGTCCCACAGAAGCAGGTGGTGTTGGCAAGGCTGAGCAAGGAGCCAGACTTCCCTGTGCCCTGCCAGAAGCAGGCAGCACTCTGAGCCCCTTCCAGGTGGTGCAGGCTGGCCCAGCAGGGAGCTGATTTCCCACCTCCCACCGCAGAAGCAGGTAGCAGGGCCTTGTATCCCTGCTGGGTAGTGTCAGTGGAGTCCCGTGGCAAAGTGAGCCTCCACCTCACCTCGCAGCAGCAGACAGCCAGCTAGTGCAAAGGAGGGCTCGTCACATCCGGCTTCACTGCCCTCCCTCGATCCCGTGTCACCCAGGCCCGCCAAGATGCCGAGCCACCATCCCCACCAGCACGTTTTCTCCTCTGTAGTATGTTGAATGGTGGTCCCCCAAAAGCCATGTCTTTGTCAAATCCCTGGGACCCTGATTGTGACCTTATTGGAAAAAGGATCTTTGCAGATGTAAGTTAGGGATCTCAGTAAAATAATTCTTGGTTACCTGGGTGGGCCTTAAGTCTAATCACGTGTGTCCTTACAAGAGATGCACAGTGGAGAGACGGGCGAAGAAGGGAAGGCCATGTGAAGACAAGCCACAAACCAAGGAACACCTAGTTACCGAGTGTGGTAGTTATAGGAAACGAAGACACCCCCTCTGGTGTCTGAGCAGGGCTCAGTGGGCATCTGGGCCTCCACCCCCACCTGGCATCAACAAGTTAAAACAAGGTAGTGGGAGATGGGATAGTCAGCAAACCTCCCTCCTACCTCCGCCACCCAGGTGTCACTTCAATCTAGGATTCTGTGATATATGTCAGGTGCAAATGCAGCTCCTCTTGATCCAGAGACCTGTGAAATAAAAAGACAAGTTACCTGCCCTTCTGCCTACACACACACACACACACACACACACACACACACACACACACACACTATACAATTATAGAAAAGGAACAGGAAACCACAATAAACATACCCATTGGAAAGGGGGAAGAATATAGTCACTGGCTCATAACAATTCTGATATCCCACTGGGCCTCATTCTGGCAATGGGGAAATGTTCCCAGACTAGACCCTGATCCTGCTCGCTGGGACTTGCTCCCTGACTCACTGTTCTCCACTGAGAACAATGGTTTTTGTGACACTGCCTGAGGTGTCACTGTCTGAGATGTCCTCCTTTTCCATCCTCTTCCTCTATTCTTCCTGAAGAAATAATCCTTGTTTGTAGCTGATTAACTTTCTTAGGCTGCTTCCTATACAAAAACGGTAAAGGGCCAAGAGGCATTTTTATAGCTTCACCCATCTTTTAGGCAAGTTGGTGTTTTTGCCAGTACCCCGCTCTTTCAAACTTTGAGTTTTCTATATCTGGTTATGGTCTATTATATACCCTAAAGCCACACCTAGAAGTGGCATCAACATATGCTTTTCTAGATGTTCTTACTGCCATTTTTGGATCAGGATTCTGTGGGACCAAACCCTTGGGCTTTTGTCCACTTGAAAAATCTACTCAACAGAAAAATTTACTTAACTCTCAGAAGTCTTTTTTTTTATTATTGCTAAAAGTATTACAAAGGGTATTACATATGTGTCCCTTTTTTCCCCGCCCTTGGCAATCCCCTGGCCTCCCCTACCCCCCAGTGTTTTATGTCCATTGGTTATGCTTATATGCATGCATACAAGTCCTTCGGTTGATCTCTTACTCCCCTCCCTTCTGCCCCCCAACCCTCTCTGGCCTTCCCACTGCAGTTTGACAATCAGTTTGAGGCAGCTCTGCCTCTGTATCTATTATTGTTCAAAAGTTTGTAATGGTCTTTATTATCCATGAATGAGTGAGATCATGTGGTATTTTTCCTTCATTGACTGGCTTATTTCACTTAGCATAATGCTCTCCAGCTCCATCCATGCCGTTGCAAATTGTAAGAGTTCCTTCTTTTTTACAGCAGCATAGTATTCCATCGTGTAGATGTACCACAGTTTTCTAATCCATTCATCTACTGATGGGCACTTAGGCTGTTTCCAGATCTTAGCTATGGTGAATTGTGCTGCTATGAACATATGGGTGCACATATCCTTTCTGATTGGTGTTTCTGGTTTCTTGTGATATATTCCTAGAAGTGGGATCACAGGGTCAAATGGGAGTTCCATTTTTAGTTTTTTGAACTCTCAGAAGTCTTATCAAAATGTCTGATGGTCACAATCTTGATTTGAAGTTGGACTTGTGTTCACATCTTACTTTGAGACTTTGCTACCTGTGTGGCTAGAGATAAGATAACAGTTTTGTTTTCTAATTTAGTAGCTCTGGCTCTCTATATCACCTTTAACTTCTGCTTGCAACCTAAGTAGGTATTACCACCCCCTAAAGCTCAGCTATTTCTTTAGTACTTCAGCCTATACAGCTAAAACCCACCAGGTGGCGCTTTCTACATTCTACCTGGAGATATCCTTGCCCAAAGTCTAAGTTCATTAGGCTTATTTTGTTTTCCAAGGTACACAGGCAGCTGTTATAGCAAATGTTCCACAAAACAGCTTCTTAGTAATGCCACAAAATAACCACACTTTTTTTTATTGACTCAAAAAGAATATATTGTCATCATAAAGTTATCAAGCATTTATCCTTTAAATATACACTGAGTGGCCAGATTATTATGACCACCCCATCAGTACAATGAAGTGAATTAGTTATGCAAATAATAATAATAATAAAAACTTGAGAGTATTTGCTTAGGAAGTTTTCAATATTCAGTATTTTTGGAAGTGTCAATAAAGTACTGATGGGGTGGTCATAATAATCTGGCCACTCAGTGTATATTCACATATTTGTATATTTATTTAATCCTCACCCGAGGATATCTTCCCATTGATTTTTAGAGAGTGGAAGAGAGAGCAAAAGACAGAAACATATATGTGAAACACATTGACTGATTGCCTCCTGCATGTGCCCCGACCAGGGCCTGGGCTGGGGAGGAGCCTGTAACCAAAGTGTGTGCCCTTGACCAGAATCAAACCTGGGATCCTTTGGTCCACAGGCCAATGCTCTATCCACTGAGCAAAACTGTCTAGGGCTCTTCTTTCAATATTGATATCAACTGTCAACCTCTTTCCCTATTCAATAGTTACTATTGTTTTCTACATAAAATAGCTTTCATAATCATTGATTAATGAACATTTTATTTTGAAATATAACTAAAATTTATACTTTGAAGGAATTATTAGAGAAAGCTTATGAGATTTTGTTGAACCTCTATTTGAAAGCGAATACGCAGATGCTAATAACTCTGAATTAATGCCTTATTTTAATGGCTGGAATCAATACTGACTATATATAATGGTAACCTACATATTCACATAATTCCATACAAAATTTCAGTGATGTCACAAATGATCCTGAACTAGTTGATTATTCAGCTACCCAAAGGCAAATAACTGAATTTGGCTGAATACCAAGACTAAAGCTAAACCTTGGTGTATCCCTACTTAAATATTCAGATATTGGGAATATGCACCTCCCAGTTCTTTTCACTGTTAGGGCGTTACATCAAAGAAGTTGTTTACAATGAACTAGAATATGACAGTCTGGCTACATCTAAAGATGGAATATTCTACTATTAATATCTCAAAATTTTCTATCAGTATATTAGTTTACATAAATCAACTGCTGACTGAATTTTATTACAGTACAATTTTGTAATATGGGACACAAAGAAATTGCTACTATGACACAAGTAACCACTTTATAAAAATTCAGTAGTAACTTACTTTTTTTTAAAAAGATGTTTGTTTTTTAATTTCAGAGAGGAAGGAAAAGGGAAAGAGAGAAACATCAATGATGAGAATCAGCTGCCTCCTGCATGCCCCACACTGGGGTTCAAACCTGCAACCTGGGCATGTGCCCTCACAGGGAATTGAACTGTAACTTCCTGGTTCATAGTTTTGATGCTCAACCACTGAGCCATGCCGGCCAGGCTACATGTATTTTATATTTATGCATACACAGACATACATACACATATAGTTGAAAGATTCTGTGTATCCAGAATCCTGCCTTGCTTCTAATTAGAGATGAAGGAAAACAGAAAAACATGCAGCCTCAGGCTGACTGCACCTAGTCTTCTGGTTGCAAATTAGGTTACACCCATTGGCTGA